AATGACCACTCCCCCACATTTCATGAAAAAACAAAGACAATAGAAATATTTGAGTCTGCCTTGCCTGGAACACAATATCAGTTACAGAAAGCTTTTGATCCAGATGGAGGAACAAACTCTGTCCAGCAGTATACAATCAGTCAAAATGATCATTTCCGGTTAGAGATTAAAGACAAAGGGAGAGATGGTAAAACTCCAAATTTACAGTTACAGAAACAGCTAGATAGAGAGACCAAAAGTCAACATAAATTAGTGATTAAGGCTATAGATGGAGGAACTCCACCAAAAACAGGCACAGTTGAAATATACATAAATATTTTAGATATTAATGATAACATACCAATATTCACTAAAGATAAATATTCAGCTTTGCTAGAAGAAAACTCTCCAGTTGACACTAAAATCATTCAGATCAATGCAACTGATTTGGACGCTGGTTCTAATGGAGAGGTGGTTTATTCATTTGGGAGTGATGTAAAAGATAAAATAAAACAGCTGTTTGGTATTGACTCTGTCACTGGGGGAATTTTTGTTAGAGGTCAAGTTGACTATGAAGAACAAGACAGTTATGTCATTGATATCCAGGCCTCTGACAAAGGAAATATTCCATTAAGCACTTTAAAAAGTGTTTTTATTCAAATAGTTGACACAAACGACAATCCTCCTGAGATAGAGGTAGCCTCCCTGTCAGGTTCAGTTTCAGAGGACTCCAGACCAGGAACAACAGTAGCACTTATCAGCATTACAGACTCAGACTCTGGGGTTAATGGTAAAATAATCAGTTATGTGGCTGAAGAAAGTCCGTTCACTTTAACTCCATCAATCCAAGATCACATGTTCGCTGTGGTCACCAAGTCTCTGCTGGACAGAGAAAAACAATCAAAATATGATCTTACAATAATAGCAAAGGATGCAGGTGAACCAGCATTAACATCTGAAAAAACTATAATCATTCATGTGTCAGATACCAATGATAACAGTCCCAAGTTTTCAGAGAACCCCTACACGTTCTATGTGACAGAAAACAACCAACCAGGAGCGTCTGTGTTTTCAGTGCGAGCATCTGACCAGGATGAAGGAGATAATGCAGCAATTTCATATCATATTCACAGGGAAGCAGGCAGTGAACATAAAGTGATATCATTCCTAAACATAAACTCTGAAACTGGAGAAATCGTTGCAATGAAGAGTTTTGACTTTGAAACATTGAAAACTTTCCAATTCCAAGTTGTGGCCACAGATTCTGGAGCTCCGTCTCTGAGCAGCAA